AGCCCTGCGCGCCTGGGACTGCTGCGGCTCCGCGGGCACCCCGCTCCCTGCGCTTGCTCTGCTGAAGAGGGGACAAGTTCAGGCAGTCTTTTCACCTTCTTCCCGGCTGAGCTTTCCACTTTTCACCCAGTCCGCAGGAGCACCCTGGCCCAGTGCCAGCAGTTTCTCGTCTCCTCCCACTCTGCGCCCCGTATTTCATTTTTTCTGTCAGCGCAGTCACTCTGGTCCCAGGCAGGCACAGCAGCACTCGCTCTCCCGTGCTCTCCGTCCATGCCAGCCCTCCCACCACCAGCCCTCTTTCCCAGGACGTGACAACCCAAGGGTGATGCAGCCTCCCGACTGCAGAACTCAAAAGCAAATGCAAAAATCCAAGAAAAAGAAAAAATCCAGAAGTCTTAGTTTGAAGTTCTTTATTCTCCTGTGTCATTCACTAACAGCTATCTCCACTTGTCCCTACGGAAACAGAAGCAAGGTTGTGTGCACCCTGGCAAATGACCTCTGGTACTAAAAATAACAGCAGGGAATAGCTCAGTACTCCACACCACTTCCCCCGCGGCGTTCGGCGGCACGCTCGCACACCACAGTGGGACTCTTCCACTCCCGGCTGAGGCTGCTGTGAGGCTGCTGCCCGCTGCTGCTTGGCCAGCCAAGGCCTCACCCTCCGGGCTCAGAGCTCGGCAGCAGCTCCGGCTCTTTCGCACAAGCGCTCACAAAGTGCACAAGGAGCACGGGGAGCAGAGGTCCACACCGAACTAGAGGCACCGGTCAGTTATCTCCTTCCCCCATTGCCAGTCAAATGTACAGCACTGAGCCGTTCGGAAAGAGCTACACACGCCACGACACAGACAGGATTTGATCCAACACACGAGTTATTTCAAGCTGAAAGGGGGGAGGGGGGGAAGCAGCCAAATGCTCAAAACCTCATAGAATGGTTTCAGATTTTCACCCAGCCTTGAGCACTGCCAGGGAGGGGGCACCCACAGCTTCTCTGGGCAGCCTGGGCCAGGGCCTCACCACCCTGACTGCTAAACACATCTTCCTTATGTCCAGTCTACATCCACCCTCTTCCAATTTATAACCATTGCCCCTTGTCCCGTCACTGCAGGCCATGGTAAAAAGCCTCTCTCCAGCTTTCTTACAAGCCCCCTTTATACATTGCAAAGGCACAAGAAGGTCTCCCCGGCGCCTGCCCTTCTCCAGGGACTGCCCCAACCCAGGTGCAGGACCTTGAGCTCGACCTTACTGAACTTCAGGAGGTTCACACGTCCCGCTCCGCCAGCCTGCCGGTCCCTCCAGCCGGCGTTCA